ACCAGTCTTGCCACTCTCCGTTCTGCCCTAACATTGACTAGTCGCTGACGGCCACAATTCGCACGTTCAGAGCCAGATTTTCAGCTGACAGCCCAGTCTTTAAACACTTTAACAACAGCTGCTCTTGAACATTTAACAAATTCTGCTGTTTTGCTGATACTCGCTCCATGGCTCCGAGTGCTAACAATCATCCCACGTTCAAAGGCTGTTAAATCACGTTGTTTACCCATATCTTCAGAAAAAAATCATGTCTACTGTCGTGGTAAACAACCTGCTTCCCTTTTTATAATGGTCTGGCCCCCCTAGCAACTTTAGCACAAAATTATAGCTAATTATAGATAATTTGCCTACAAACGTCAGGTGGTCATAATAATCTGGCCACTCAGTGTATTTGTGCGGGAATTGAATGAGGGTGCGATGACGGGACCTTTGCTCCAATCATCTGTCCCTAACTGCAAGTAATCAGTGGATGTTTTGCCAACAGCCACAGCTACCGTCAGCCTGTCATATACCTCTGCAGTGGCGTCAGAAGGGGGATGCGGGGTGTGCGGCCCGCACCCGGGTGACACCATTGGAGGGGTGACACCAAAATGACTTACAGTCATTTTGGTGTCACCCCCCTCTGAAAAGTCGGGCGCTCGGACATGGACCGAAAGCCCGACAGTATCAGGAGAGAGGAGGGGACCCGGCAGCATACCTTATCCCGCCGGGTGCCTGTCCCCTCCTCTCTCTGCCGGCGTCCATCACAAAGATGGTCGCCGGCAGGTATCAGAATACTGCCATGCCTGCGTGATGATGTCATTGCGCACGCGCGTGGTGACGTCAGGCGCATGCACGGTGACGTATCGGCGGGGTGACACTCGGTTACCACTCTGGGTGTCACCTAGCCTCGGGACGCCCCTGTACCTCTGATAAGTTGAAGCCATGATTTGATACAAGATGGAGTCTACGATGAACGGAATATGAACTCATGGCTTGTGTTTCTGGAAAACATGTTTTTGTGTCTCAAGAATCTCAAGAACGGACATTATCTCCTCATTATCCCTTGTTATTCAAAATATCTAGTAATTAGGCCAAAAACAGGAAGATGTTGATTTATGGTTTGACGTCAATATATGCTATATTTCTTAGAAGCAATTAATTATCAATAGCCGGTCACGGTGACAGGTCAGGGTGACCGTTACTGCTGGACACTAACCTCATAATAAACTGCCATGTACTAATACATTTATTGTTAGTTAGTTAGTTAGTTAGGGAAACTCCTACTCCCCTTTTGGATATGTGCCCGTATATAGCCTATATAAACTTTCCAAATCTGTATGTAAAATTGTCACACTATCATCCTATCTGAAGTGTGAACCGCTGCGTATCGTACCCTGCAATAAATCAATACACAGATTGTATACTGGAAGAGCGTCTGATTCCGCTTATTCAAAGGCTAAATTATCACCTCCTAACTTTCTGAGACGAGAAGGATGTACACCTTCTGCTAGCACAATGGGGGAATTTATGAATGTGTTTGCGATAAAACTTTTAGGACAGCAGAGGTGCCCGAAGGTGACAAACTTGTCACCTTCAGACGCCTCTGCTGCCCTAATCCCACGTTTTTCAGAGAATCCTTTTCCTACTGTGAGAACACATCAGGTTCCTTCAGCTGTGAAGCCCCGGATCTTCTGAAACACACCCTGACGTGCATATCGTTCGATTTGCGCAGGGACAGAAATATTCCCCACAAGCCTTCAATCACCTGGTTGCCTGATATCCCCAATGGAACATCTCAAAAACACATCTTTGTGAGTATCGCACATTAATCCTATCACTAACAACACACTTCCTGATCTTTATTTCAAACTACTACACTCAGCCGGACCTGTCCTAGGACTTTTATCCTAATTTCTTCTCCTATTATTTTTGGTGTTGTCTATCTTTCAAGAGAAAAACTATAAATATAAAGGACCCCCCTCTCTAATGTCTCTATGTATACCCACTTGCAGGGGGCATCTGTATGGGACTCACATAAAGTGTAGAGAAGTCTGTTAGTTAGAAATATACTCAGGAGTCACTACTGCCTGCAGCACTCTGACTGCCGCGCCAAGGTTTATGGAAGTAGTTTATTATTGAGTTTGAAATACATTTGAAAACATGCACTTTTTTTATCCAGCCTGTTTTAATTTCAAGTAGAACTGAAGCCAATTTTCTTTTGTCTTGGATAGAGTAAGGGAGCATTATAACCCCTGTCAGCTTTTATTTCTATCTATGTCTCACTGGGGAGATTTCACTTCACTTCCTGTCTGACAGCCACAACAGATAGTGAGAGGAAATCCTTCTTAAGTGAGGGAAATCCCTAATGGTCAGCAGGCTCACCAGAACTGTCCCCATTGGAAGATTTTCTATTTATTCCTGTTCTGATGATAACCCAAAAGTAAGGATTTTCTTTCACTTTCACTAACTAATTAGGGGTATGGAGGACCAGAGCTACGAGACAAGGCTACTAAATTTAAACATGTTCACATTGGAGGTGAGGAGATTAAGGGGGGATATGATCTCCATGTACAAAATGTTCAATGGTGACAGCAACATTGGCGATAAACTATTTAAAATTAACTCCGTTACAAAAACTAGAGGCCATAACCTAAAATTGGTGGAAAAAAAATTCCAGCACAAGGGGCGAAGGGGGTTCTTCACAGTTAGAGCGGTTATAGTCTGGAATTCACTGCCACAGGCAGTGATTTCAGCAAAAAACGTGGAATTGTTCAAGAAACTTTTGGACGATTTTTTAAGAGACAGTAATATACAGGGGTACAAGTACTCCTAAAAACGAGATCCTATAGGTTGGACTTGATGGACTAATGTCTTTATTCAACCTCAAATACTATGTAACTATGTAACTGATAATAGTAAACAGGACAAATAGAGAGGGTGACTCTCCCTAAAGGCTTGTTCACACAGAAGGGGGTGGTAAAACCAGGAGGTTGGGCTTTCAAACACGACCATTGCAATGAATGGGACTGCTCCCACAACCGTGTGGATATGCAACTACAGCTGACCATACACCTACAGATTATCTGCAGATTTTCTATGGTCAGATAGAAAAAGTGCAACAGATTTCTCCTCCATCTACACTAAATTTTGTAGAAGGAGGAAACTCCTGCTTGGCCAAGCTTCAGTATCTTGCTTGTCGGCCCCGCTGGCTGTCAAAATACCTGAACAATCTGATTGGATGCAGGCATTGTTCAGGTATTTTGAGAGCCAGTGGGGCAGACTAGCAAGATACTGAGGCTTGGCCCAGTGGGAGATTCCTCCATCCACACAGTTTAGCATAGATGGAGGAATCTGTTGCACTTTTTCCATCTGACCATAGAAAATCTGCAGATAATCTATAGAAAATCTTCTTTGGGATAAAAAACAAAAACAAACTGCATTCAGGAGGTGGCTGTATCACCTCCTGAATGCCGTGCAGCTGCTGTTCCACCACCCTCTAAAAAGTGATGGCCTAATGGGGACACAGACATTATTAAAACCTGACAGGTGTTCTAATCTCTCTCCACTCTATCCAAAGCTAAAAAAAGATTTGGCTTCAGTTGCACGTTAAGCACACTGGGGGGATTTATCCATTTCGTCGCATCATCAACGTCTTTTAAACTGTCGCATCCTTGATTTCTAGTGCATATAGTGACAGATTTATTATCCTAGTTTACATTTTATTCTTAAATGCCTTCATAAGGAGAGATGACTTAAAATTGTCTCTAAATTGCTCCGGCCTCTAAACTGTCTCTAAGGGCCCATTCACAATAGGGTGCAATTAGGAGCTTTTATATGCATTTTTATTAGTTTTCTTTTGCATTTAGATGCTTTTAGATGCAGTCAGTTTAGCTGTGTTTAGGAAAAATAGCAGTCAGGTGCGTTCAGGTAACAATTTTAGCTTCTAAACGCATCAAAACACATGTAAACGCAAGACACGTCAATTTGCTGAAATCTCATTGGCTATTTCAATTGATTGTTTCAATGGACGAAAAACAAATGCATCTAAAAGCATATCCATGTAAACGCATGTGAATGAGTGTTAGGTTAAGCATCTAAAAGCATAAAAAAGCATCTAGCCTGACAGATTTTGCAGACAGGTCTCAGCATAAAAATGCAAGTGGACAGTGTGAATGAGGCCTAAAATCTATCAAACTTGCAGGGAACCTCCTGAATTACAGCTGAAAAGTCCTGAAGTGTTTAACTTACTTGAGTGAATGAAGCTGAATGATCTTTGTGATACTTTAAGAAGTGCTCAAGAGGACAACTAGAATGTGCGACAGTTTGAAGGGTTGTTAATGTCGCAAATGCGGTACGCAAATACTGCGCATTTGAGAAATGATGTGAAATGTTGCAAATATGTGCAGTGAGTGGCAAACATGAATATGTCGCAAAACCAGTTAGAAAAAAGTGCAAAACAAAATAAAGCTTTGCGGTTAGTTAGCATGACATTTTAGTCTGCGAAAACATTTTTTGTTGCAAATATGTTCGTAAATTCCCCCCAATGAATCTAGTTGAAACCTTGGCTGAAGAACCTTTGTTTGCATGACTGGCAGACTGGTACCTGGCAGAATCCATTGTTCCCTCTACTTGGCAAGTTGTAAGTGCTAGGGGGGGATTCAGGGAAGCTGTACCGTAAAACTTGCTTATTTCTTATTCTCTGAATGATGGTGAAATTAAGCTTTTTACATTTTTATCTAAGAAAAGCAATTTCTTTCCTTCTCTTTAAAATGTCAGAAGGTATGTGAATGCAAATACATTTTATTAATAGGCTGCTGAGCCACTCTGATAGTTTTTAGCATGCATATAAACAGACGCTTTGGGATTGACTTTGATAACAGCTTGTGACTTTAGAGGCCACAGAAAGAAAGTGAGCAGAGCCAAGTAAACAAAGGAGGGCAGGCGCTGTAAGGAGTTCCCTTTCCCCAGGCTGAAGGCTGGTCTTGTGTGTGATCAGTACTATAGGGCGGGGAGTGAGTAGGAAATGCAGCTTGCTCTGCTGTGCTAATGAGTATGGAGGGATCTGGCAGGCAGTGCTGAGAGGTAAGAATAGAAAGGCAGATCAGAGAACTTGAGCAAACTGTACATTGCTTCTTACTGTCTGCTGCTTGTATACTTGCCGATAGGATTGTCACTGGACAGGCTGAAGATTGTGCTAAGAGCTTCTAGGCATTCTACTGTGTGTGCTGGTGTAGAAATAAAACATATAAGCTTATGATAAGCTCTTCAATATGCTTATCTTAATGAGGTTTAGTTTGGAATGACACTAATCTATACAACTATATTGTTTGCTGCAGGTACCCAAAAACTAAGGCTAGCCATACACACATAGATGTCTCTGTTTTAGACCGTGGACTTAACAAGAGAAAGCTAATAGATTCCCCCATCCATGGTAAACAGAGTTGATGGAAGAATCTCCCCTGCCGTCTTTTGTATTCATTCGGCACCTGTGGATACCTTAAAGTGACACTAAACTCAGAAGTTAACCTTAAAAAATGCATTCAAGTGCCTTAACCATTAACAAAAATGTATCTTACTTATGTATCAATCAGCTGTAGATCCTCAAATCATCTCTGACTTCATGCTTACACTGTCCTTCCTTCTGGAGGGTGGCCACTTTTATTTCCCATGTCAGCATGAAGTCAGAGATGATTTGATACATTGTAAACTAGCCACTGCTCCAAGTTCACTCCCGTGATGGACTACAATTGATGTTTAGTTTACTAGTTTGTATTGAGATTGTAGTACAGCTATCACCGGAGCAGTACCTTATTTGTGTATCACTCGGCTGTAGATTCTCAAACCATCTCTGAATTGGTACTGACACTGTCCTTCCTTCTGGAGGGTGGCTACTTTTGTTCCCCATGGTCCCTGTGTGTGTTGTAAAGTAGCCATAACTCCAATCTTGCTCCTGTTATGGACTACAATCTCACGTTCAGTTTGCTCATTTGTATTAAGATTGTAGTCCATCCCAGGAGTGATCTTGAAGTGGTGGCTACTTTACAACAGACACAGGCACCTTGGGGAAGAAAAGTAGCCACCCTCCAGAAGGAAGGACAGTGTCAGCACTAATTCAGAGATGAATGGAGGATCTACAGCCACTTGATACTCAAAAAAGATACATTTTGTTAATAGTTGAGGTACTTGAATGCATTTTTAAGGTTCAACTACTGAGTTCACTTTGATACCTGAACTGTGGCTGCATCTGGTTGGATGCAGTCACTGTTTGGCTGTTTTCCACCCAGCTTCTTTGATTTTGCAATCAAAGTTTGTTAAGGATGGGGCACACAGGGTCACCGCCTGTGAAAATTCGTCTGATTCAGCAGAAATCATACAAAATTCGAGCTGTATAGGCTAGCTCAAAATTAAATTCAGTGTTTGTCCGTGTTCAGCATCACTCTTTCAGGCCTAACTGGGTTATTGTGCTTGATTTTAAACATTCATTACAAAGTGTTTTTTAATGACAAAAAAGATGTAACAGAAATATGTAAACATTTATTCTACAGTTTATACAGTATAACTCTGACATTTGCAGCATACTGTTCACTGTGTACTTTACACGGTTCCTCTCTGTATACTGTGGTGATATACTTCATGCTGTTCCAGTTTGTATACCGGACAATACATTATATGCACACATGTTTGTGCATGCATTAACGGGTGTTATGATATGTAAGGCATTGTACAACTCCATAATTGCCGCAATGCATTACCCAATTACAGACCCTTTTATGTAGTGAGTGCTGCTTTCCGTCTGTCAATCACTTTCAACAACTTCCTGGATTCCCAGTGTGCTTTGTATTTCTTTTCCTGCTGCTTGATGTGATGCAGTCTTGATTTCTCAAGGCTACATATCCCATCATGCATTGCTTCCAGCAAGCAATGATAATGTTACAACATTCAGATATGGAGTTGTAGTTTAGAAGGCAGACTCTGTAAGAGTTGTGGCACAAAGAAGTGCATATTCACAGGGCTGAGTGAAATTGTGTCAGGGCATTGAGGAAGTACATCCTATGGGCATCTTTAATAAGTAGATTTACAAACGTCTAGGTCAATATGGTTATTGGGAGTGGTATAGAACTTATGGAAATTTAATATAGAAGGCTGGATTTCACTGGAAAGGCTGTACTCCACCATAGATAAGTAACTATTTCTTTTAGTCTTATGAGTGCATTTAGTTGTGGTTTTAATCCCCATTTAAGTATTCATTGCACTGGATTGGTGCATTACCTGTTGGCTTTTTATTTTGATAGAGAGCATCAGTTTGATGATGGCCACTGACAATGTGGTGGTTTTGCGCTGATTGGCGGTTTTGAGTAAGGCTCCTTTCACACAGGCTGGTTATCAGAGGATCTGAGTATTGTTCCCCTCCTGATCACAGCAGTACGGAGCAGATGTCACCGCTGTGACATCCGTGTCCCTACAGTTTTGTCCTCCACCTTACGATGGAGGAAAAAAAATGGAAACTGCGGGACCCCATGTTGGTCTTTGTGGAATCTGATGTAAACGGATATGTGTATGTTTACATCAGATTACCCCCGATCCGGCAGAATCTGGTCCAGGAATAAATATAGACTTGCATTGGGCATCCGATCAGGTCCACGTGAAAAACTGACAGACGGACCCGATTGGACCGGCCGTGTGAAAGGGGCCTGAAGCCCATCACTCTCATAAGCTGTTACCCTGATGCAAGATTGATTTATAAATGCATTTTCTCTATTCCAGTTTGAGTGTCTAATTGACCACTATCATATTCTTATAATCTTGAGAGAATATACAAGTTTTTCGCATCCCTCTTTTCTTGTATTTTCTTATTTTATTATTATTACAGTGTAGTTCATCCCCAACCTTTTGTTTTGTGAAGGTGCAAGTGTCTTACCAGCTGGCCTTACAAAAAAAAAAAAAAGCCCCAAAACAATTTACACTGTCTAACACTTTACATTAAAAACAGAGGTTTTAGTTGCACAATGTTTGCAAAATATGTGAAAACCCCACTGCCTCAATAAGGCTCCTCTGTGTACTGTGGTCCTAACCCTAACCTGTAGGGACACACCAGAAGCCCAGCACATCACAAAGGCAGCTGAAGCCCCCAGTGTGCCCCCACACCAAATCCAAGGTCCTGTAGCACACCTTACCGGAATTCCCATAGGTAGAAGTGGGTGCTCGCAATGACCGCATTAAAGCAGAAATGGTTGTGAAGATATGTCACCAGCACTCCAGAATGACAAACGAGTCAATTTTAGTGAATCTTCATTTTTTTAAATTTTTAAAGAGGTTACTCAAAGTACGGTCAAGTGCTTTCGGGGCCGTGCACGGTCCCCTTCATCAGGCTTAAACTGAAGTTCACTTTAAAAAGGTTACCACATAGTTCTCTTTTAACCCTTGCAGTGCTGTGGTAGCCTTTCCATGTGCACCAAGTGAAGTTCACTTTAAGCCTGATAAAGGGGACCCTGCGCGGCCCCGAAAGCGCTTGACCCTACTTTGAGTGACCTCTTAAAAAATAAAAAAATGGAGATTCACTAAAATTGACTTGTTTGTCATTCTGGAGTGCTGGTGACATATCTTCACAACCCACACCAAATCCAGCACAACAAATATGGCAACCACACAAATCAATTTATAAATAGCTTTTAAGCTATTGTGCACATGGAAAGGCTACCACAGCACTGCAAGGGTTAAAAGAGAACTATGGGGTAACCCTTTTATCCCATAGTTCTCTTCAGAGTCTCAGGAGGACATATACCAACTTCCTCCTGAAGTTCGGTATAACTTTTTTTTTTGTCCCTAGGTGAAAATGAGCACTTAACCTTTTGCAGTGCAGGGGTAGCCCCAATGCAAGGGTTAAGAATAATTATACCCAGAGCTCTTCTTTCATGTCATCCAAAAAGCAACTTGTAACCAGTAACTGTCCAACATGCATAGGGGTGTATTTATAAACAATTTGCAAAGCCATTCGTCCTGCGAAACACTGTGAATGTTCGTTCTGTGTGAATAGATGCAAAAACAAATATTTTTAGTATATTTTATTTTATAAGTCAAATGAAATATTGTAAATGCTGCATTATGGCCACTAGATTGCTGCTCAGGTCAAAGGAAATAAGTAGTTATTTCCTATGCTCCTTAGCCTCATCTATTGGCCATATGCCCAATGAATACAATTCAAAATACTAACAACAACATACAAAGCCATCTACAACTCCGCCCCAACCTACATCACTGACCTCATCTCAAAATATCACCCAAACCATCCTCTCCGCTCTTCTCAAGACCTCCTGCTCTCTAGCTCTCTAATTACCTCCTCCCATGCTCGCCTCCAGGACTTCTCCAGAGTGTCCCCCATCCTCTTTAACTCCTTACCACATTCTGTCTGCCTATCTCCTACGCTGCCCACCTTTAGGCAATCCTTAAAAACCCATCTCTTCAGGGAAGCCTATCTCATCTCAACATAACTGCCTTTTACTTCCTCCCATAACTCAATCCAAACAATTATGACCTCTTGTATCACTTGCCCCCCCTACTAGATTGTAAGCTCTCACGAGCAGGGCCCTCCTAACCCTATTGTACTGAAATTGTATTGTAACTGTACTGTCTCCTCCATTTTGTAAAGCGCTGAGCAAATTGTTGACGCTATATAAATCCTGTATTATAATAATAATAATGCGGTACTTACCTAATTTTCCATTCAACTTGAAAATAAAATATGCTAAGAACATTAATTTTTGCCTCCATTCACGCAGAACAAATGTTCTCACACTTTTGCAGGACGTATGGCTCTGTGATTTGTTTATAAATACACCCCTCAGTCTATCAAAATCAAACTAAAATAATCTTTCACAGACCAATATTACAGATGTACAACAACTGCCCACCCACATACAAAGTGGGCAACATTACCCAAGAAAATTGACCACAACAAAGCAAGGAAATAAAATGAAAAGATGGGTGGTGGAACAAGTCCGACAATCCTAAAGTAGCTGATGAGGCAACTGCTGAGTGACAGGGATGTGTGTAAAGGTATATGTTTACATTCATTGTTTACCAGT